AAATAATTAAAGGTAAAAGATTTTGACTGGGTTCATCGGTTGTTTGAAGAGAAGCTATAAAAYTAAGTTTAAAGATGAAGAGAACTGTTCTTATTTGTTGAGCATATTGTACAAATCTAAGGTTTGCAACAGATTTAAATGACTGAGGTGTAAGATTTGACTTGCTTGAAACAAGGATGTGGTGTCACCTAGCAGCAGGGAACAAGGCCTATTGTTGACTTTAGTACTGTAGATAGGATGAAAGCAACACTGGATTTTATAGACTGGATTTGTTTAGACCATTTGTTATGGGCTTTATTTATTAAACAATATGGAGATCAGGCGGTTTAGAACCTCAGAGGAAATACAAATGCAACAAAAAGTATGAGAATCTAGTTTGTTGTAATTCTGAACAAAAAGTACGTTTAATGACAGTTTTTACCTGAGAGACACTGCCAAGATTTTCTCCACATCGATCTGCCTCTTCAGCACCTCAGTCACCTGACCTTTCTCTGGTCCTTGCTTCACCTTCTCTCTTCCAATCAGGTACAAAGATTTAGGAGTCAAAATCAAGTCCCTCCTAATTCCCTGAATACAAAAACAAAAGCACAATGATTTGACTTTTTTTTGGCAGTTATTGGAAAAGAAAAAAAAAACGCTAAAAAATAAAATCAAACCTTGAACCGGCGGTCGTATTTCGTGACTTTGTCAGCAAAGTCRATCTTTTCTCTCTTGCCCAGAAACTGCCGAAGTTCAGGTCTGTCATCCATGCCGAGGTAGTCGCCCACAAAGTTTCTGTTCAGGCTGTGCCGCCGCCGCTCTTTTCGGTTCAGCAGCAAATCAGAAGCTRATTTTAAAAAATGAAAAAAGGAGCGGAACTCCAGATGAGGGATGAAGACAGASTCAGACGGATAATAAAGCAGCAGGCGCTCTCTTTACTCACCTTCTTCCCTCATCTGAACGTATTTCTTACGAGCAACATATTTCCTCCAGGCCTTCTGGATGGTCCTCGCGTAGCCATCAAACTTTCGYTCCCTCGTCTCTTCCAGCAGAAAGAGCTACGAGGGAAAAATAAAATAAACAGTGTAAGTAATCAGTATAAAATATACTCAACATGTACAGAGTACAGTAGCTCACAGAAAACCAGTATGACTTCATTTAATAATTTAAATGTTTCTGAGTGTGACAAGCCCCTCCCACATTCCCATGTTCTGTTGGTAAATGTATTTTACTCAAATTAAAATATTTAGTTAGTTCAATTCTTGGAAAAATGCAAATTTTTCTGTATGTGTGAATAATAAACAGCACTCCAGGAATATTATGATGGTAATATTTATAGGGATACCAAAACCATCCTAATAGCATCAATCTCTGCGTGATCAACAGGCTCGTCAGAACACTTTGTCCCAGCAGAACACCAGACTTTTTACCAGCCTATGTCATTTCCTGCCGGACCTGCCGACACACAGTCGCAATCTCTGCCCTTTCTGTGCCAGACTAAACATCCTGTCCACTCTTCCAACGGGCCCCGGCATCAACAAGGCCAACCGCACGAGGACACCACAACCAAGGCCAAAAACACAACGCAAGAGACTTCATCCACAGAAAAATAAATAAAATGCTCCGGGTCGCAGCACGCATGTGTGACACCACAGAGCCACTGAGGCTTCAGGTTTTTCAGCTAAATAGTAAACTAAACATGAATCATCTTGTGTTGAGAAAGGATGAAGTTGTAGCCATTTTTGGTTAAACCTTGACATCATTGGCAATCGCAATATTGCGAAATGTCATTTTCACAGCTCTCAGCARCAGTCACATGCAGTTTTAGCTCTATATTTGTAAACTTGACTGCATTATATCAAATTTTAAAGTGGACTGACTTCAAAGTTAAAGCCTCTTCGTGCTTCATCTGAACTGATGAAAATCGGCTCTCGTTTGTCGCAGTAGCGAGATGAAAATCGTGTCATTTTGTTCGCAGCATCTTGTCATCACCCACTGTGAGAACTTTTCACCCCCCATCAAAATGAAAACGTGGTTCATGATATAATCTGGTAACAAACACAGAAGCGCATCAACGCTAACCCGCATAAAAATGATATCTGTCTTTAGTGTTTGATCTGTCAGAGCAAAAAGAAAAGCCACCAAAGAAATTCATCGTCTCATTGGGAGAGAAACTTTCAACAAGTGGCCTGTTGTCGAACAAACGTCACTTGTTACACAAAGAAAAAAAAACTTCGGTCGTGCAGCTGATGAACTGGTGTCAGAGTTTTTAATCAGACACAGGCTTGTTTGGAGAAGTCTGGCAGCTCGTTTCAGCGATCTGTCCTGTGTGATATTTGTGTTTCATTAGAACACCTCACTGACCCTCAGTCTGTCAGGAGGGGGGGGAGGCTGCAATAACTGTGTAAAAGCATTCCAGATCAGCTGTAGGGCCTGCGTTAGGACTGAGCTGTGCATGTGTGTGTGTGTGTGTGTGTGTGTGTGTGTGTGTGTGCTGCTAAAAATACACCAGCGGGTGTGTGCCTGCCCGTCCCCGCTCCGTTTCATCTGGTAATATGTGAGAACGCAGGCGTCACACAAGTGCTGCTTTCATAGGAGTCATAAAGAAAAGTAGTGATGGCTGAAAAAAAAGACAAGCCTTTACGACCCCACCTCCCTCCCACCCCCCAACGCCCCTCCATACACACACACACACACACACACACACACACACACTCCACTTTTCCCAGCCTGAGTCCGTAGTTTCACAGCAGCGTTGACTCACCGCTGACGTGGACCAGGGGTCGGGTTCTTTCTCCTCCCCTACACGACTCAAGCATGATTTGGGACTCTGCTGCCTTTTATGGTGCTCAGAGTAAAAAAATGCTGAGTTCAGATTTTTTTTAAACTCTTGCTAACAAAAACAGGCAGACACTCTCACAAGTTATTTCAGTTCAGAGGATTCGGACCAATAAGTTCCAGGTTAGTCACTCATGTTCCTGGACTGAGTTCCTCCAGAGGTGCAAACTCACCGACTCGGGGGCTTTAATGAAGATTTTGGTTTTGCCGAGCTGGAACTGATCCTGGTCCATGTTGACAGACCGTAAGAGGTGAAGGACGCCCTGTTTCTCATCTCCTTGCCACGTTGGCCAGGACTCTTTGGTCAGGATGGCGTACCTGAGAACCAAAAGTACCAACATTGAAATCATGACCGTTTGAAAAGTCAGATCCATGAAGTCAAAATTAGCCCAAGTGCAACTCAAATCATAAAGTAGTGCTTTTAAAGCCTTCTTTCCCACATTTAAATCCTTCATTTAGGGTCTATATACAGTGGAACTGCAACGCTTCGGTCTGGATTCCTCCTAATTGTAACTTCACAAGCCCCTTTCACCCCTTTTCTGAGTTGTGTCTCAGATCAACTCGTTTTTAGGCTGTCTCTTTAAATCCAAACGAGGCGCTTCATATCCCTGCCTCCCTCCAGCTTCCAGAGCGGTTCATTCTAGTTTGATAGAGGGGTTAAGACTATATAGATGCGCAGAAAATTTTTATTTACAAATGAATAAAAAGCTGTCAACCAGGGAAGACTTGTCCCATCCAGCCTTACTTGTTGGAGCCAGAGTCTGACCCAGAGCCAGAGGAGAATYAAGACCACCAAATTGTTTGCCAGTTCAGTCACAAATAATTTGACATAATAGTTCAGAAAACGTAATAGAAAACAGAGAAAACTGAACGGGTTGATAAAATATGACCTAAACAGAAAATAAAGAAATCTTTGCTCAACAAAATGCATTTAATGGCTAAAAAAGTGGATTTTGCATGATGAGTCCCCTGTTAACAGGAGAATCCCATGGGTCTGAGGTGTGATACCTGTTGAGGAACTTCCTGAAGACTCTACGGTAGGCGTAGCCRGCACGCCTCACCCTGATGTTTTCCTTCAGACCCAGATACTCGACCTGGTGCTTCACTCTGAAAACAGAACAAATTAACATCACATGAAAAAGGTACCGATAGACTTTTTGTTAACACCATATCCTCTATCAATGGAAAAATTTCAACTTCTGACACATTTGGTGGCGACTGATTTTTAATCATTTGCCAAACCAAAACCTTTTCAAGACACTTTGCAGCTCTCACCACGCTGGGGGAAGCCATAATTGCAGGTCATTGTATGCAAAACAGTTGCTTGTGCTCAACATTTTCCTTAAACAAAGGCCTTAAACACCGGGCCGTACACTCAGACTTCCTGTGAAAAYAGCACTTCCGCAGCTAATTAATGAGTCAATGCTCACAGCTCCCAACAGGAAGGTCATAAGCCCCAAACAATACAACTTCACTCTTTACGTGAACGTGTAGCGTCCAAACCCGGTGTGCAGGGAAGGAAGAGAGCGAGAAACTGATGACCAAAAACGTCTTTGGGTGAACAACAACAGCAAAAAGCTAAAAGAAATAATTGACCTTCTCTCCAAATTTGAGCTCTTCAGGGAGTGTTTTTGATCARTCAGCAGCCATGAGCACCCTAAAACCTCTGGTTGAACAATAATCAAGTCTGCTGCGGTTATTTATTGGCTCTGGGCAGTGATAAACACGTAGACTATTTCCTTGTCGGCAGCGAAGAGGGATCTGATTTGTTTTAATTTGAATTATGTAAACCGAACCATCTTTTCTCATTAATCCGGTTCCTGTTTTCAGCTTTTAAAGTTTTAGGAGAAAAGCATTTCAATGAGCCATCCGAGAGGAGATAGCTGGGTTTTGTTTGTGAGTGGGAACAACAGAGGACGCTGCGCTCCATCACTCACCGTCCCTCCTCCCAGTCTTTGGGCTTCTTGGTCTCGTTTGGTTTGATGCAGCGGATGTAGTGTGGTGTGCATTTCATCAGCGTGCTCACCAGATCATTGGCTTGTTTCTGGAGGGAGGAATCGGAGCAAAAACTCAGACAGGAAGGAAGGCAAAGATCACAATGAGGCAGACCAAGGTAATGTTCAAGTGAAACTCACACATCGTCTCAAAGACCCCCCTCCACATTTACTGATAAGAAAAACACACAAACGCACACATCACTGAGCCCGCACCTTTATTTTGCTGCCTGCGGTGGTGGGTCGACCCTTCTTCTCAGCGTTGAGGTTTTCTGGAAACAGCGCTCTGATGAAGCCACTGTGAGGCGACAAATGGTGACGAATTAGAAATTAATGTTTCACCCTCTGATTAACAACAACAAATCAAATGTAACNAAATAAGAGCACACTCTCCCATGGCAGCTAAGAACCTGAACAAACAAAACAGTTAATGATTAAAGAAGCAAGGACCTTCAACTCACTAAGGTCAATGATTCGAATTCCCAAAACATTTGGGAACGTTGGAGGTGGGGGAGTTGGTCTTTGTGTGTGTGTTTAYTGGTATTTGTTAGCTTTCTGGTATGCACATATACCTTGTCGAGACCATTGTTCTTATTGGWTACCAAAGACTGGTCCAAAAATGGTGGAACTTCATTTTTGGTTTGGGGGTTAGAGTAAGGGTTCAAAGATAAAATATAGAAAAGACTGGAAGTCAATGAACTGTCCTAATAAGGACAGAAATGCAAAAGCTTGTGTATGTACATGTTTTTGTGACCTGATGAGGACAATTTTTGACCATTTTCCTGGTACACACAGTCTGGTGAAGACCCACTGTTTCTTATGGGGACAAAAGCCTGGTCCCCGTTGGGGGAAATACTGATGGTGGGTCAGGGGTTAGGGTTAGCACCAAGGTGTGAAATGAGTTTATGTTAGGTTTTAAACCAGGTATGTAATGGGGTGGTTAGGTTTAGGGTGAGGGGTCAGGGTTCTGCTACAGAAATGACCAGTGAATGAATGGAAGGCAATGCAAAGTCCCCATGAGGATAGAAGAACAAATGTGTGTGTGTGTTGAACTTGCACAAGGTCATTCCTATAAAGAGAAATAAACTTTGTTTTTGAAGAAATATTGTTTGAATTGGCCTCAAAGTATAATCAACATATTCTTTGCTCAGTTTAAAAATAAAATAAAATAARCAGAAATATTCAAAGACCTGTGTGTTTCCACAGAACACTAAATTCAATCTTTCTTTCTGGCTCATCTCTCTGTAAACACATGAAGCACAGCTCAACTGTATTTCGAAAAAAAAAAAAAAAGAAGCCAAGTTGGGTTTTTTTCCTGAATCTCTTTCTATTGTTACTTGTGAGGAAGAAATTTAGCAAGAAGATGTAGAGAAAGTAACTCAACAATCAGGAGCCTTCTTTGTTGGTTTCATGTTTTATAACTGTGGATCCCCAAGTCCTGCAATAAAGGGGTCTAGACTGGCCCCTCTGTCGGTCTGAGTCTAGAGCTCAGAGAGTTTGTCTTAGTTTTATTCAAGAGCCATTAATAAAACAAAACTTTATTTTTTATAGGAAATATGCTGTAAAATGCTAATTAATTTAAATGTATGTTATRTATGGTGTGTGAAGCAAAAATAAAATACTCCCAAAAGTTTTAAAACTTTACCAAATGTAACTTTTTTTTTTTGAATATGTCACATATTAAAAGAAGTTGCATCAAAATCTTCAAAAAGTGTGGTGACCTGATGTTAAGATGGCCTTCATTTCAGTTTCTTTTTTTTTCTTTTTTTTTTTTTTTTTTTTTTTTTTTTACCCAAAGTCTATTTTAATATTTGGGCTTTTTTCTTTTCTCTTCCTGTTTTCTGGCGCCTACATCAGGGTTGTTTAGTTTTAAACTCCTGACTGGAGTCTTGGACCTAGAAGAAAGGATCAGCAGGTTTTGTGTATAAATACAAGTCAACTGATGTTCTCCAGCTGACGTTGCAGGTCAAACCTTTCTTCTCTGTTCAGACCTGCTGCTCAAAGGAATGAGGGCGCTTCCTTTTCTTCTGACGGTTCCTTTCTGTAACCTTTTCACTTTATGTACAGATATGTTGGAGCATTTATGTCACGCAATATTTGCGTTTTCCAGCACGTGTCCCAAAGGAAACCTTTTATTTTCTCACCATATGTGCAACACAAAGGAGCATGCAGGGGTTAAAGAGACAATCCAGGCTGTTTGCACAGATGGCCACTTCAATACCCCCCCCCCGACCCCCACTTACAATAAAACCATAACACAGGGTGACCAGACTTGAACCTGAAAGCCCCACACACACCCCCAAAGCCACGTAATGAGACAGAAAGCAGACGTGAGTCAGGTCAGAGGGCGAGACATCACCAAGTCCCGCACAGTTCAGCTGCCTCCCGCCTGTTTCCAGATGGATCGATGCTTCTGCAGCTTTCGTTCAGATGTGCTCGATTATAAACACATGGCTCACAAAAGGAGAGTCGCAGAGGAATCCTCCCCACATGTTGCTGTGAGTTACTTACATTTCACTGCTCTGCATCAGCTCAATGAGGTCAGTGAAGAGGACGTCTCGGTTCCTCTCACAGAAGCCCTCTGCGTCGTAGGACACCTGCAGAGAGGCAGAGGGGTTTCTCAACAACAACAATCATCAGAGAGTTTCCAAAACCTGAAGCAAAATGGAAAATAAACACTGGATGGAAGTGATATTCTGAACTCAATCCAAAACTTGGCTTTAACGAGAAAATTGAACGGTTTTGAAGCTCCAGCCTCCCTTTAAAGGCAGCCGTCATAATAACGCTCATGTTATTTCTACGACACTACATGGAGATGGGAGGAAAGTTTCGAGCGCAGTCATGGGAGCCTCAATCCTTTCMTTCAAGGCTCATTAAGCCTTTGGCATGAGGGCCAGGCTGAGGCTGCCACACATCTGGAGGACGACACGAGATGACCTCGGCAAGCCGCCGCCAAAATCTACACACACACACACAAAAAAAGAAAACGTCGCGCAAACTTTATCATCCGATTTAATTGAGACTGATAAACTTGTGACGTTGATATTCTTCTGTTGTGAGGAAGGCGAAGTTGGTTTTCAAGTGGAAACCTTAAAAGGATCAAGATGTGACACAGACTTTCAGGATTGAAGCAGCAGCTGTGCAACTGGTGCTTCTGACAGATGATGTGAAGAACAGCTCCCTTACCAAAACCATAAAAAATAATGAGTTCTATTTCCAGAACTTTAATTTCAGCCTCCTGTTTCAGGCTGTATATATATACTGTATATATACTGTATATATATATATAAAACATATTACACCTGACTCAACAGCAGAGACAAGTGTACCGAGGGGTGTTTGAATCGTTCGGATTTGATTTCCAGTCGTTTCCAGACAAACCAAACTCATTTACTCAGCGTGGTCACACTGACCTTGCCAGCGTAGTGATGGATAATGAAGCCCTGGTTCCAGCTGTTGAAGTGCTCGTGTGTGTTGATCTGGACTCGGAGCTTCTGCAGCATGGTTTGGTCGGCTCCCTCACCCACTGCGTGCATGGTGGCACACACGTCATCCAGGATGCACATGACACCCGGGGGATTCTGGGGTCATGGAAAAAAACAACAACACATCTTTGATGTCACAAACTGAGTCATTGCTTATTCACTTGGTTTACTTAGTAGATTCGATTTTAGTTTTATTATTTCTAAATCACAAACTTGCAAGAATTTTTTTTACATAAACTTGGCATGTAATTTACGTAAACCATTTTAGAATGGAAGCTTCGCAGTGGTTTTCACCAACAGCTTTTTGAGCTTTTTAAAAACAAGTTAACTTGTGACTGGATTAGGCAAAGAGCCGAACTGTCAGACACTGAGATAAATCCCCAGCCCCTCTTTGAGTTGGGGGGGGGTTAAAGCCCACACTGTGGATTAGACTTCTAAGGAGAAAATTAGGAGGCATGTTGGCACATTTAAGAATAATAATAAGGTCAGTGCTAAAGAACAAAAGCATAAAAGGCTGTTTTAACAAAAACGTTTGAAAAGCCAACTTTTTAAAAAATTTCATTTAATGGTTTTATTTTTATTATCAGTAAAATATTAAGAATTGTGAAAGGTTTTAGAGCAGTTTGTATTGGTGTGAGCTAAGAGAGTGTTTTTGTTGTTCAATATCTCTGATAAAAACTAAAACTTTACATTTACCATCACATCTGAACTTCTTCTTTTGAACTAAGATCTATTCACAGCTGATCAAATACTGATAAAAGTTCAGATTTAAACCCATTAAGAAGCATGCAGGGTATCCTCTAGTATTACATTGTTGAAAGCTCTTCTGTAAACACCTTGCTCTCGATGAGATCGCACACAATCTTGTTGTTGAAGTAATCTATAGGAGTCCATTTGATGCCCTCCTGCACATACTCCTCCTATAGGAAGTGAAATAAATCAAACAGAGAGTTTTAAAAACAAACTACAAAGGTATAAAACCAAAAATCTGCACAAAGAGGCAGAATGTGGAGAAACTTCACCTGCTCTGCCTTTAGAGTCAGCTCGATGAAGATCTGCTGGAGCTTCTCGTTCACAAAGTTGATGCAGAACTGCTCAAA